ATATTGGTCAAACAGCCATGACCACTGCAACCCTGAACTCCTTCGCCACGAAGCATACACTCTCTTGTTTATTTATCATGGAGCACACCTTCCTCAAATGCTAGAAAGACACCTTTTTGGCATTACAGGAGGTTACACAAAATAGCCACTGGCCTCCCCGTCGGGGAATCGAACCCCGGTCTCCCGCGTGACAGGCGGGGATACTCACCACTATACTAACGAGGATGTGCCGTGGCTGGTAGCCTCCAGGTGCACCCATATAACAATGCTGCACTCTGGCTCCCACTCTGTACTGACGTCTTCATGGGCACAGCATCTCTGTCAAGTGGCCTGCTTCTCTGGACTGCGGAAAGACCTCCTTGAGTCCTTGGAAATGCAGAACACACAAGAATGAAGGAACAGGTGCACGCAGATCAAAGGTCTAACTTTCTGTATACCATTCATGAAACAACCTCTCACCGCCAGGGGATGTAGCTCAGTGGTAGAGCGCATGCTTTGCATGTATGAGGCCCCGGGTTCAATCCCCGGCATCTCCACTGTGGCCTTCGTTTTTTGCTGAGAAGCAGACCCAAGGGCCCCTATCAGCTGGCCTGTGAATGAGGGACTTAATAGGGAACAGGGCTAATCAATGCCTCTAGTCTTCGTTACAGACACACAGTCCCTGCCCTGGGGGTTTGGACCTCTAGGTTGGTGGCAGGCCCTCACCTCTAAGACACACTCCTAGTTATTCTCATGAGGCAGACAAAATACCGTATTTCCAATTAGTATTTTGCAACTGGCCGTTCATCCAGTAAGTCCTGAGCGCCTGATGCCAAGTAGTGTGCACGCATTGAGCGCCTACTGTGTGCACAGGTAGAGTGTCAAGTACCCTAGTGACCCCTGCATAAGACAAGCGAGGTTCTGGTGCTCATGGAATTTACATTCTGGTCCAAACAACTAATGATAAACAAGAAGGAGTAAGTTTTACGAAGACAGCAAACGTGACGAGATGGAGGCTGAAGGAGGAGTGGGGGCTGCATGTGTTAGGCAAGCTGTCAGGGAAGGCGTCTCAGATGACATTTCAAGTCTGTGGAAAGGATCCATGGGGCAAGGGAAAAGACAAATGGAAAGGTTCTGAGGTTGGGCGGAGGGAGGGGAGACTGTGTTGTTAGGACAGAAAGCAAGCCCTGTGCACGGAGCCTTGGGGGTGAGAATAGACGGGTTGAACTTGGTCTTCCAGACACTGGAAATGATGTAGTGGCAGGCTCTAAATGTCAGAAGGCTCCCTCTGGCGGCCACGTGGAGAACAGACTTTGGGAGAGCAGAGCGTGTGGAGGCTAGAGCCTGGGTCCAGTGGGTTGGTGGGAGGGTGACGGGGTTGTGGATAAACCCTGGAGGTACAGGCAACAGACTTTGCATGTGGTTTGCATGTGGGAGGTGGGCGAAAGAGGACTCGGGGACGTTTCCTGTTCTGGAGACATGGATTTGGAATAGACATGTGTCTTTGCGTTGTTTTACTCATGTACTTACAGAATCTATGTTTATATTATGGTATCAGCAGGATCTTAGGAAACATATATAAGCAAAAGTGAGGGAAAATCAACACCGTATGCGAGCTCAGTGATCAGCATTCACGAGGGAGTGGCCATCCACCCAGATGAGTTTCCACGCGCATGCGTCTGGGCAGAAGGTCTCAACGTTTGCAGTGTGATTGGAGGTCTGTTAGGACTCGTGTGCCCATGGCAGGATGACAGCAGTGTAGTGAGGACACACAGCAATCACAAGGGCCAAAGACCCAGTTGGGTCTGGAAGGGCCTGAGGGAGGCTTACTCAGGCTCCCTCCCTCCACAAGGGTCTCACCCAATGCACTCACCCCCCAGCCACCAAAAGGCAGCAACAGGTGAGCAGGGTTTCTGCCCAGGGAAACACCCCCCCGACTCAGCGCCCAGGGTTTTCATTGGGGATGGTCACACAGGCACCCCCCGTGCACCACGCACCAACATTTCCGATTCCCAGGAGTAAAGCTGGTGGTCAGCATCACCCCGTTTGCTGTGAGCCACACTCGTCAGGAAGAGTGAGAACCCTCAGGAAATCCGAGTCCTGGCCTCCAGCCAAGGGCATAACGTAGCCCAGTCCAGGCTTCCAGATAAGGGCGCACCAGATGGGGGGCCTTTCCAGGGGAACTTCCCCCTTTCTGAAGTCCTTCCTGGACCTCAGGTAACTAGGCAGGGACATGCAGGTCAGTTTGCAACGTGATTTTTGTTTTAATTTGGTATACACTTTCTAAACGCTGCTTCATGTTTATAATTATCATGGTGAATGGCTGCAAAGTGTTTCGCATGGCTGGTACCGTAATTAATTTAACGTGTGTTTCAAAGGAGTGTAGACTGAAAAGACAATCCAGAGAAATGGGCATCAGTATTTGCAAATCACTTCTCTCACGAGAGGAGCTGTGGTGGTATAGTGCCATTTGGCTGTTAACCAAAAGGTTGGTGGTTCAGAACCACCATTTGCTCTGTGGGCGAAAGATGAGGCAATCTGCTTCCATAAAGATTTAGAGCCTTGGCACATGGGAGATACAGACAACAAAGATGAACCCTTCTGCACATACAGTACTGCGTTGTCAGTGATGGTAAACACTGATCTACAGGTGGATAGATGGGTGGACAGGTATGTTTAGGCAGGTGGAAGTGTGCTCATGACCATGTAGAGGGGTGGCAGATGATGTTTCTACAAGTGTATTTGTATGTTCTGTAATAATGTCCAGGTATAAAGTAGAGCTGACAAGGGACAAGGTTGTGATGACTTCTTGGCCACAGCCAGCTACTCGGAGGGAGCAAGCAGTTGGACCTGTGGGCTCAGGACCATGGTCACAGGGGACATCAAGCTCAACTGGCAGAACATACTACACAAAACATCGTTCCACCTTCTACCGTGGCGAGCAGCGACTGGGATCTTAAAAGCTTGCAAGCGGCCATCTAGATGCAACGATGGGTCTCTCCTTGTGCAGAGCAGGGAAGAATGAAGAAAACCAAAGATTCATGGAAACAATTAGTCCATGTGACTGGTACACCACGTTATCCTCGGCCTGTATGACTACGAGACCAGAAGAACTAGATGGTGCCCAGCTACCACTGTCAACCACTCAGAGGGGGTATCTACGTAGGAGATCCTGGATAGAGTGGGAGAACAACAGGGAACAAAACTCAAAATTATTAAAAAGAAAAATAAATAAAAAGACCAGGTTTCCTCGTCTGACAGAACTAGGGGAAACCCCTGAGACTGTGGCCCCTGGCTGCCCTTCAGGTCTGGAATTAAACCCACTCCTATAGCTTCCAGCCAAACAAAAGACAAACATATGAGTTGAACATTTACCTGAGGTAGATACACTCCTTGGAGAGAACAATCATGAGAGAAAGAAGGGCTGTGTATGCACAGGAAGACAGCTCAGGAGGCAGGAGTGCATGGAGGGAAGGACACAGGGAAGAGGTGGCTATGGGCAGGAAGTGGAAAATGGCAGTCAATGTTATGAGACAAAATGTGTATGAACCGCTATTTGGAAAATGAATTTGCTCTGTAAACTTTCACCCAAATCACAATAAAAATTGGAAAAAAAAAAGATGCGGGGCCTCGGAAACCCTACGGAGCCGCTGTACCCTGTCCCATAGGGTTGCTCCGAGTCTGGAAGTGACTCGATGGCAGTGGTTTGTCTTTCCTCTAACAAGGGACTAATACCCAGAATATCGACTCGACAGCTACCGGTTTGGTTTAGCCAGAGTACGTAAGGACCTCTTACAACTCCACACTAGAGACAAACAATCCAAGTAAAAACCAGGTGAAGGATGTAAATGGATTTCTACAAAGAAAACTCACAAATGGCCAACAAGCCCACGAAGATGTTGGGCAGCAGACACCAGGAACATGCAAATCTACGTGAGCTAGCACTGCACACCCACTAGGACGGCTACTGAAAGACCAATGTAAGGAACGTGGGGAAGTGCCAGGGCCTCCCACGCTGCTGATGGGGGCGTGAAATGCTGGAGCTGCTAGAGCCAAGCCTGGCAGCTCCTCAGAAAGTGACACAAGGAGTTACCCCGCCACCAGCAATTCCCTTCTTCTTTTTCTTCATTGTGATTTGGGTGAAAGTTTTCCAAGCAAATTCACTTTCCATATAGCAGCTCACATACACTGTCTCAGCAATTCCCCTCGAGGGCACTCACCCAAGAGAATGGGAAACATTTTCACACAAAAACTGGTACACAGTGTTGACAGCCCAGATGTGGAAACAACCTAAATGCCTATCAACTAATGAGCGGCTAAACAAACTGTGGTGTGTGCACACAATGGAATATTATTCAACCATCAAAAGGAGTTAGGTACTAATACATGCCACGACATGGATGCACCTGGAAAGAAAGAAGCCAGACACCAAAGAGCACATGCTTTGCGAATCCACAGACATTTCGAGAGTAGGCAAACGCCAGGCAGAGAGGAGATTAGTAGGTGCCTGGGCCGGAGAGGAAGGAGGTGGGGCCGGCTAGTGCGTTTTCTTCTGGGAACGATGAGAACATTCCTAGATTGGAGTGGGGATGTCTGCACACCTCCAACCCTCAGGGCCACTCAACGGTACTCCTGAAAACGGTGGCTTGTATGGTATACTAATTAGATCCCAATAACAAACACAGTTTTGATTTTTCAAGAGGATAACATTGTTTAGTAAGAGTTCCCTAACTCCCCTCCGGGCCCTGTGAGACACGGGCTCAGACAGCACATGAGGAATGTTATGTCACCAGCACGTGACAAACAGTCTACCGTGTGAGAAACAGTCACAAAATGCCCCAGCTGGGGCACGCTGTCTGGATGCAGCAAGCTTTGTCCAGAATGAACTGAGGTGAACGAGTGTCTCCAGGGGCCGGGCCTCCTCGTGGGAGCAGGCCAGGGGCCGGGGCTACTGTGCCGGACCCTGCCTTCTGCCAGCCCTCCGTCTCCTGAGCAGTCCGTGGCTCACAGCCAGGTGCCAGTCAGCGGTCAGAGGTGGGGGGCCAGGCTTTCTCCACGTCAGGGTGCACAGCCTGGGGGAGCCACTCACAGTACTCGGCCAGCAGGTCTGCAGGGGCAGAGCGGACAGCACGTCAGAGGCACCTCCGAACTCCGGGCCCTTCCAGAGACAGGTGGGAGAGGCGGCCACAGCCAGATGTGGCAAGTCCTCCCACCAGCTCCTGCCTTGGAGGGCCCTGGGTACTCCTTCCCACCCCCTGAGCACAGGCGCTATCGGGTCAACGCACACTTGGGGTTTTTCTTCCAGGCGGCTAGCAAGGCGTCGCGGCAGTCTGCTTTCTCCAAGACGAGGGCTCGAAGGAGGCTCTCGGTCCTGGGCTGCAGCCTGTCGGGCGGGAGCAGGGGGTGGGCTACTGCTGGAGCCACTGCCTAGCAGGAGCAGGGCTCGGGGGCCTGGGAGGAAGGTGGCCCCGACTGGATCAGCACGCCAGGCAGGAAGTGAAACCCTGCAGGTGGTCCAGTGGGGTGCCCTTCCTGCTCGTGCTGGCGGCACTGGGGAGGGGCCCAGACCCCCCCTCCTCGTCACCCTGCCTTCACGTCCTACTGCTGCTGGAACAGAAACACTGGCTGGGTGGCCTTCACAGAATGTATTTTCTCACAGTTTAGGAGTCCCAACCACATCCACTGCCATGGAGTCCATTCTGACCCACAGCGCCCCTAGAGGACAGAGTGGAACTGCCCACAGGGTCTCCAAGGCTGTCAATCTTCACAGAAGCAAAGCCCAAACCACACCCACTGCCTGGAGTGGATTATGACCCAAAGCGCCCCTAAAGGATAGAGTGGAACTGCCTACAGGGTCTTCTAGGCTGTCAATCTTCACGGAAGCAGACCACCTCATCCTTAGATGAGTGGCGGGTGGGTTTGAATCACCAATCTTCTAAGAGGAACATTAGTTAAGATGAGGTCATTCTGGAGCAAGGTTGGTCCTTCTAAGAGAATGGAGATTTCAGACACACAGACGAGACAACCATGTGAAGACAGAGGCTGAGGTTGATTCGGCCACAAGCCAAGGGATGCCTGGAGCCACCAGAAGTTGGAAGAGAAGGACAGATCCTCCCCTGAGCCTCCAGAGGGAGCGTGGCCCTGCGACACCTTGATTTTGGACCTACAGCCTCCAGGTCTGTGAGAGAATACAGTGCTGTCTGCTAAGGCGTCCACTCTGGTGACCTGTTAGAGCAGCTCGCGGACCCCCACAGGCTCCCTCCCCACCCCCTGCCTGTGCTCTCAGAGCAGGCCGCACCTGGCCCACGTCTTCAGCATCGTGGTGGGGCTGGACAGCAGACACCCCCGGTACGAGGCCAGCTTGCAGAAGACCTGAGAGAGACCACAGGAAGGGGTGAGAATGCTGTTTACCTCCTGCCCGCAGAACCTAAGAAAATGGCCGAGGGAAGCCCCCTGGCCACCTACCTGCCCTTCCAGCAGAAACCGGGCCAAGTGTTTGTAGCGGTCGATGCCCTCGGGAAAGTCCATCTGGACCTCGGGGAGGGGCCAGCCGACCCGATCTGGAGACGGGAGCTGGTGAGCACAAGCCTAGGGGGGGACCCGTCACTGCCCCGTCACTGCCCTGACCCCCAGAGGGAGGAGACCTGGCGCGACCCCTCTGCAGTGCAGGGTATGGGCTGACGCGCCCTGGGGGCTAGCTGGCAGGGGGCTGTGCACTCAGGAGGTGGCCCCACTCACAGAACACACTGGCTCGGTGACACAGCACACGCCCCGTCTCAGGGCAGTAGGTGGGGGGTGGCTCCTCGGCCGGCGGGCCAAACTGGCAGTAAGGGGGCAGGAGTGCGGGTATCCACTGCACCTCCACAGCCGAGACACCTGGGGTGCAGAGGGAGCCCGGGTCACTGCAGGCCCACCAGGCGCCTCCTGGCTGCGGGCCAGCGGACACAGCAGGTTGGAGTCATGGGGAGAGGCCGGTACCTTTCATGTACATCTTGGTGGTTTCCACAATTTCCTGGTAGACCACAAACTCGGGGAGCTCTCTGAAGAGGACAGAACTGGGGTGGATGAAGACGGGGTCATCGAGGAGTGGGGTCTGTGGAGAGAGGTGAGTGCGTGAGGAGCCCTCCCTATGTGCACCCCCAACGAAGACATGATCATGCACTGAGTGAGAGCGGTCCGCCAACGGAGGAGGGTGGGCACCACGTGGTCCATCCACCCTCGGGGTATCACTCAGCCACGGGAGGGACGGAGTCCTGACCCATGAGCCACAGGGGTGCACCCTGAAGACAGGACTCTGAGTGACAGGAGCCGGCCACAGAAGGCCACATAGTGGAGGCAGTGGCCAGGATGGGCAAGTCACAGAGACAGAATGCAGACCGGTGGTTGCCAGGGGCCGGGGAAGGGGAGAATAGAGAATGACTGCTGACGGGTCGGGGAGGTTCTTTTGAGGGATGATAAAAATGTCCTACACTTGGTTGTGGTGACGGCTGCACAACTCGGAAAACACCGTCTAGCAGTGAACCACACACTTTCACTAACTGATTATGTGGTGTGTGAAATATGTCTCAGCTGTTAGGGAAAAAAGGCACAAGGAAGAAAGACTGTCAGCCCACAGAGGAACACAAGACGGGGACAGGCGTGGACAGACACAGTTCTTGTCTTCCCCAGCCCCTGGGGACTTCCCAGAGGCTGCAGGGACCCGTGACCAAGGAGGACATTCCCACGCAGGCCCCCAGTGGTCCTGTCCGCCTGCCCTTCGCCACCAGCTCGGAGCCAGACATCTGGAGTACCCAGGCTGGCAGGCCACTGGGCGGGGGTGGAGAGGCAGCCCAGGCTCGGTGGCCGCCCCCTGCCCTGCCCCCACCCCGAGCGGCACCCACCTTGTAGGCGTTCCTCCACTTGTCATCCAGCAGCTCCTCGCTCTGGACCCTGCGGGCCAGGTGGTCGCCCAGGCCGGCCGTCACAATCTGCCGCAGGTAGGTCACCTGGCTCTCGGAGGGCGGCTGCATCTTGGGGTCCACAAAGAGCTCCGCCTCGGGGCACACGGCATTAACTGGGGAGAACACGGAGGGGACTGGCTGCCTCAGCGGGGGGGCTGGGGCCTCGGCCGGCCCTGCCGTGCACCTTCTGGTGTCACGGAGACCCCAGGGGCTACAGAGCCAACTTCTCCCCAGGGTTACACTGGCCGTGACCTTCACGGAAGCGCTGTGTCAACCCTTCCTTCACGGCGCAGCTTCAGACTACCAACTGTAGGTTAGTCTTCGAGTACAAAACCCTCCGCCCCCCGCAGCCCCAGTGACAGGAACAGGTGTGCAGAGCACAGACCCAGGACACAGAGTGTCCCCTCCGCAGACAACCACCTGGGGACGTGCCTCCCTCCTGCCGCCCTGTGTGCCGCTGGCAGGCAGGTGGTTTGTGTCGCTGAGCCAGGTATAGAGTAGGGCGGGGGACAGGCAGCCCTGCCTGAGACAAGGGAGGGGAACCCAAGTTTGGGGAAGAAATCTCAGAGGGAGGGAAGGAAGGCGGTGGCTTTGGGGTCCTGTGGCTTCAAGAGAGAATGTGACTGACAGAAGAACAGTGGGAACAGGACCAGGGAGGGAGGCGGGAACAGAACTGGACGTTTTGTTCTGCTCTGAGACACGCACTGTAAATCCCCGTCTGTGTCCCCTACTCAACCTCTGACAAATTTTTAAAGAGAGAGAAAAGGAAAAACTACGAAGCAAGCACGCACACGTTAGGGACAGGACACGAGAGCCAAGACCGCAGGGTCTCTGCCCCCGACAACTTCTAGAAGCTTCCAGTCTCCCACACCATAGCCCAACCCAGCTAAGACGAGTCCAGACCCCACCTCTCACACCAGCAGCCTGCAGAGAGAAGGGGCCATGGGACCAGCTACTCTCCAACTCTGACGATGAGCGGGTCCTCAGCACCGCTGGCCGTGACACAGAGCAGGGAGGAGCCAGCCAGCCTGGGGCCCACTCAGGGTGTCCTACCTGCGGTGGTCAGCTGGCCCCGCAGGCGTCGGATCTCTGTCATGGCCTTATACCGCAGCCCGCTGGCTTCGCAGAACTGTGGCGAGCCACCAGCAAACTCCCAGGCCCCTACAGCACCTGCAGGGTGATTGGGGGTGGGGGCTGCTGGCTTATAGCCCTCAGCCCCTTGCCCCTCTGCGCACCTGACTGGCCACCCCCACCCCAGCCCCTCTGTCCAGCCTACCCCCATGCCCACCCTCACCCTCCACCTGCCGCCCAAGCCACTCATCTACTCCCACCCTCAGCCCTCCATCCACTCTCACCCCTCTACCAGCCCCCCTCCACTGCCCACTCCCATCCTAGCCCCTCTGTCCACCCCCACAACCCCTTGGCCACACTTCCACTGGCCACCCACCCCCAGTCCCTCACCCTCCATCTGCCCCCACCCCCTGGCCCACCACATACCCAGGAGCACCATGAGGTCCCCGAGCAGCAGGGAGGCCCCCTGCCCGGCCCAGGTCCTCCTCATCTGGGCCACACGGGCCCGCCTGCTCTTCAGCGTGGCAAGCTCCTGGTCGCTGGCAGCTGGCCTGCGAACACACACACCACCGGGCTACTGCCTGGCCATCCTCAGGCTCAGGGGCAGGAGACACACTCACCAACCGGGACAGGTCACCGCGACCACAGGTGGGTGGGGTCCCAGTTAACACCAGTGACTTCTCAAGCTCAGCTCAAAGTTCACCACCGTCAAGATGAAAAGGGAGGACCCTGCGTGTTATCATAAGGCAGGCCTCACTCGGAAGGCAGTGCTCTGTCCACGAGGCCAGATGTTCCCTGCAGGAGTGCTTGACGACACTCACAACGTACAAAACCCATCCAAGGAATAACTAAGGTTGCCTCCGGAAATGTCAGCAGAAAGGACCCTTTGTAAGATCAAGCCATGGGAGGCAAATACTGTATTTTTGCATATAACACACCCACACAAATAACACAAGTAGGAAACAACACACAAGGGGTTGAGAGGTTTGCAAAAAACCACATGCATACAACATGCGTGTTATATGTGTAAAAATGCATTGTACACAGGAGGGGGCCACATGGTGCCACTGGCCATCACATCAGGAAATTATGATCTACCTGACCACTAAGGGAAGCAGTCTGCCATCATAACTCATCTAAATCTTGCCACACATACGTACACTCATACACATACAAGTATACATACACATATACCATTTTGTTAACATTCCTGGCTCTCCCTGGATATTATGGAGTCATTGTTTTAAGCGGATTCACTGTAAGAGGTCTTTTCCTGAAATCAATGACCCTCTGATTTTCAGGGACACCCCCGGCCCAAGTCTCACCATGTCACTCAATCTGCAGAGGTGGCAAGATGGGCATTACCACCACACTGTGGAGATCAGAGAGCAAAGGGTCCGGAAAGGATGGGGGGCCCGCCCAAGGTGCCCCCGGAGCTCTCCCCCTCAGGCCCAAGCACGGCCCCAAGCCCCCCGGCCGAGCCTCGCACCTGTCCAGCTCCTCAAACAGCTCGCGCACCGTCATGGCGGCCACGATGGTGATGGTGTAGGGCAGGCAGCCGTGCTGTCTGCTCAGGGCCAGCATCTTGGCATAGCGGGGCGCCACCGGAAACGTGGCCATGGTCCTGCCCAGGGGGGTGATGGGGCAGCTCACCCGAGACCGCTGCAGCTGCTTCATCCTGGAGGACGGAGGGCGCGAGCGGTCAGGCTCCCAGAGGACGTCCTAGAACCAAGGCTGAGAGACCCTGCCGCCCGGGTCAGCTCAGGCCTGGGCGCGGGGCCAAGACATGCGGGAGCTGGGCCTCCTCCCTCCCCACCCAGCCCAGCCCTACCTCGCTGCTTTCTGGGGCGCCTGAAGGGCCCCCAGCGAGATCAACAGCTCCTCCGCAGCAATGAGGGCCTCCACAGAGGGAGGGGTTGGGAAGGGGAAGTTGATGACCTGGGGACACAGGAGACGGCAGGAGACAGGTATGAGTGCAGAGACATACGCGGCCAAGAACTGAATAGAAGGCCTGGCTGGGGCCACAGGTCTCAGTGGATGGGAGGCCAGGCCGGGCGGGATCATGCAGCACCTCGGGGCACTAAAAGGACTCTGCATCCCTCAGGCAAATGCAGAAGCCACTGAAGAAGGTTCAGTAGAGAAGTGATGGTCTCACCAAAACAACAAAACTGCTGCCTTTGACTTGATTTCAACCCACAGCGCCCCTAGAGGACAGAGTGGAACTGCCCACAGGGTCTCCAAGGCTGTCAGTCTTCACAGAAGCAAAGCCCAAACCACACCCACTGC